CGTAACTCGCGGCCTTTGGCTTCTAACTCGTCAGTCAACTTCTCAATGGTGCTCGCTAGTTGGCACTATGACTTCGCTCCTAGACAATCTCGGCCTTCAAGTCATGGACAAGATAGCTAGCTTGTTCCAAGTGAGATCGGTGCTCCGTCACCTCCTCCTCAAGAACTTGGGTTCTAGTAGCTCCCCTCTCAGCTTGCCCTAGCAGTGCATGGGCCATGGTGTCCGTCTAGGGAAAAAGAATGGTGTATCAACAAAAAGCTAAAATTTGGCTAAGAATGAAGGAAGAGGTCAGGAACATACCACCAGGAGGCAACACATAAGCATCCCACCTAGTTCATTGGGACGCGACTCACGGAGCTCTACGACCTCCTCTGGAAAGATGACCTCCTTGCTCTTTACTAGGGTAGTCCTGAAGCCCATGAATCCATGATGGTGTGCTTCTCCTCGGAAGTGGCAATGACGTTCGAAGTAGTGGTTGCCTTGGCCCTGAGTTGTGGAATGAGCTCCTCGGAACTCTGTGCAGCCTTGGGTTTGAGAAAGGTCCCCTCTGGTCGTTCTCCTCAACGAGGTCAACCATCGGCATGGCTTTGGCTGCACTCCGTCTAGCAAGATCAAAAGTTGCAACCTGAGGAGCTTCTTGGGGAGTACCTTCCTCTTATTCCTCCTCATAGCCTAGAATAGACCGGACATTGGCACACCCAACATATTTCCTATACAAAATGTGAAAAAATAAGTTAAGACCAAAAAGATCAATCGAACCTGGATCAACTTCTCCTCAGCCAATAATTCACTCAACTCCAACCTCCTGTCCACTAAGAGTTGCACCCTAATTTGCATCTGTTCACTCAACGTATCCTCCTCGGAGTCCTAAGTCCCCACTCTCCAGGACGTTGAGAATGGCCATCCACCACTCCGATCATGAAAGAAGTACCTCCTCTTCCAATCCGGTACCTTGGAAGGGAATTTGTGCAAAAATTTACACCCGGGCCAAAAGGATAGGTAGTAGTTATACATCCCAGGAGTACTTGAGGGATTTCACTTTATGTGGCATATGCCGACGAAATTCTTGAGATCTAGGGGGAAGCCGACATGGTGACAGAAGGAAATGATGCTAACCAGAGTCCTAATAGAATTGGGGTGAAGCTGATCTAGGCTAACATTGTAGTAGTTTAGCACCTTGGGATTAAGGGGGCGAAGGGGGAACTGAAGACCCACTTTCAAGGCCTCGTCGAAGATAGCGACCTTGTCATCATCATGCTCCTACGGGAACTGCCCAAGGGGAAGGGAATATTTGAACTGGTCTGGTATCCTTTATCGATCTACGAGCTCGTAAACATACTTGACAACCAATTCGGTGGGATCGAACTCATATTTATTTTTGGCTTGATGATGGGAGGATGAGGCTCCCTTATTAGAACCTCGTCATTCCTGGGCCGAGGATCCATCTCTTCCCCGGATCCCTCATTGGCCTGGCAGGACGGATCCCTCTCTTCCTCGAATTCAACACCCACATGATAAAAACAAAGAATGAATCAAGGGGAGATGACTCACCTAGAATGAATAGATTGACCTCGCCAACTACACCAATGACTTCGACAACACCGAGCTCTGCAACCTTACTATGCACTAGAACTCCAAGGTTATGGATGAGTGAAATGGGCCCCCAACGGTCCTATTTATAGATAGTCAAACCGAACTATGGATAGTTGAGATCAGTTGGATCTAACTGTTCACAAGGACACGATGGTTCGTATTCCGAGGCAAAATTAGTTTAGCACGTTTTTTATGTCCACGTGACCTAATAGTTATGTGCCATCCGCGCATCCCCGAAACGCTACCTTGTGCTTAGGTCAGACCGGTTGAACCAACCCAATCCTGAGCCATTGGTTGGACCACAATCGAGACTGAACTTGGGCCAAATCACCTCAGGTTAATACTACTCCCTTATCAGACCAATCACACTAGACTCAAGAGTGAGGGCAATTGATGAGGGATAATTTGGTACTCGAATGATATCACGACACATGGCATTGCAGAACAGTAGGGTGACATCTCGGCACCATGTAAACAGACCCCAGGAGCACTTCGGACACTTCACAACCGCCTTGACGACCTCGGCACCACTCCGGTAGGTCGAACAACGAACAACTAGGCAAGACCTTAGGTCGGCGTAAGAGGCTACCTACTTCCACCAATTTAACCCGGCTCCAGTTAGTAACCTACCCGATGTGCCAAACAACCTCCCCTTAAGCGGTCTATTGCCTCCAAATTCCCCGGGATCATGATGCCACATCGGAATAGCCGGTTATCACCTTGCCTACTTCATGCGGGATTGGATAAACATTACCCACTTATATGGAGTTCGCCTCCAGGCATGAAACCACCTCCAAACTAGATGGGTCGGAGATCTCATACGCATTTCGTGAGATTCACGGAAGCTCACCTATATAAAGGCCTCACTTCCAACCTCATAAGGTACGCGTGATTTAGCTCTTGTAATTCTTAAGCTCTCTTGTTTTCTTGCAAATAATTACCAGTTTGCTGACTTAAGCATCGGAGTGCCCACCCCAAGTCATGTTACCCGAATACTCTGATAATCACTTTCTTGCAACTCGACTAGGTGACCTACTCAGTCCTATGTCCAAGTTGTCTAATAGAAAAGAGCACCAGATTGCACATCATTTATAGCAATTCAAAACTACATTTTTTGGGTAAATTGCTAATCTTCCCTTGAGTTTCTTACCATTATTGAAACGTCCCTTGAAATTTAGTAATAATCATAATCACCTTTTCTTAACTTATCGTCACAGTTACAATAGTAGATTTAAAATCTTCTAATAAGAAGCACAAAAATGTCTAAAATACCCATGCAATTACTGTTAAGGATGGTTTTGAAAAAAAAAAACAATATAAACTTTATGAGAAACAAAAAAAAGGAAAGTTAAAAGTTGAAATTTACCTTTGAACGATTGATATGAAGGGCAAATTTGAAAAATAAATATTTTGGTCAAAAATAATTTTATCTGCATGGGTATTTTAAACATTTTTATTAAAATTCTAATAGTGGGGGGCTAATTGCAACTGTTTTAATAAGTTAAGGGGAAGTGATTACAATTACTAAACTTTAGGGGATGTTTCAGCAACGATAAGAAACTTCATGAGAGGATTCAGCAATTTATTTATATAATAACTTTAATAAAAGCGACAATAAGACGGTAAAATGTTTATATGTTGATAAAACAAATGGTTTTAACCCAAATTGTCTTAATCCTGTCACCTGTTAGACATAAAACATAATTAAGGCCCCGTTCACTTTTCGGTAGTTATTTATCCAGGTAAATGCAATTATCTGGGTAAGTTTTTCCTAGGAAACATCTATCCAAATAAGTGCATTTACCCATGTTCTTTTATTTCTTAGGTTAATAAGGTAATGACCATTTTAGCCATAAAAACCTATTATTAAAAGGGGCATTTTTGTCCCATTCAAGTGTTAGCAACTTTCCCCTAGGTGGGTATCAGTTACCCGCGTAAGTGGTACCTAGGAAAATAAACTTTCCTTGATCTCCACGTAACTCTGAAAAATGAACATGGGATTCTTGGTCAATGGGAACCAAAATCCCATTGACCAACTTCCCCCCCCCTCTGAAAATCCAAAAAAAAAATGCCCCCTAAAAGTTATTAAATAAGAAAACAGGGAAATCTTTATGTCATTAACCATTTAATCGCTTGGGGTTTTCATTGGTTTTAAGCAACAAGAACCTCTCCTGATTCAATTGTTTATTGAGGCATAAATACAGAGCCAGAACCCACATAATTAGTTAGGTTATCTTGGGTACGTAGAACCAATCCATTGACAGTTTTAGGTTCCCCTTGTTTTCACTAGTTCGTTTATCCAGGTTAGTGTTTTCTTAAATTTCAAAGTTCTTGCATTACTAGAGTAAAGAAAGAAGTGGGAGGGAGAGTGCATTATTGACAATTTGGCATGTAGATCAGTTATTTATCCATCTTTCAAGAAGGTATCGGGCGTTTGGGTAACTGATACTCTTCAGAATTTTAACTTAATGTGAAATCCAATAAAACAATATATGAGTATAAGGATGTAGTCAATTGCCCATTTAACCAACTTAATCACAACTAAATATCGGCAAATTAACGAGGTCATAGTTGTGGATATTATTTTAGTCATCTTAGTGCACGACCTACAACTCGTAACCAGAGGATATATACTCTAGTAAAAAAGAATTCTTGGGGGATTTTATCATAAATCAGTACTATGGTTTTTAAAAATGAACCGGTCAGGGGTCCAATTACCGGTTTGAACAGTCCGATCGTTCGAGTTCTGACAAAAATAAAAAATTAAAAAAAATTAGAAAACGATTAAAACCATTTGAACAGTTAATTGGCCGGTTCAACGGTTTGTTAATTAAAATCAACTGTTTTGGAAGGTAATGGAACCGACCAGGTGACCGATTCCCGATTTTTCCGGTCTGACCGTCTGTTCCAGTCCGGTTTTGAAATCCATGATTATTACAATACAAAGTATGAAATATTATGAATATAAGACCTGTTCACGGGCTGTTCCTGTTCTGGATGGGGCTTCAGACTGGGGCCCTTCAAATTTGGCAAAAGCCAAAGCCCGAGCCTGGCCATGAACAGCTCTAATTACGAAATACATGGGGAAATAATGAAGAATGCTCTAGTTGATGACTACGTATTTATTATTAGAATTGGTAATCAAGCTGGGGTTTAATGAAATGGAGAGGCGCAGTAGTTGAATCTCATTCAATGAAGAAAACGGCAGTTGATCAGCAAAACCGGTGAGCATTGTTTAGCTTTGTTATCTCTCATATACACGCACTGACGCACAGTAACCCAATGGGACTTGACCACATGTGAAGACTTTATGGACTCTGTCGGCGAGCCTCATTCACACTGTATTTTTTGTTTTTTTAAGTAACTCTTTCACTCTCTTTCACTCTCTAGTTTGTTATATAATAAGGTCCAAGGGTCTCGCACTTAAATCACACAAAGAAGCTACGGCCTACGAGCTTCTTACCGAGTTGCTACTTTCCTTCATCCCTTGCTTCTCTGATCATTGGGGGGCGTACTTGCATCCCCAATGAGGGCTCTTTCTTTTTGTGGAGGAGCCCGTTTGGGCTTCTGGGTCACTCTGCTACTGAGTGTAGGTTTCTGCCGCTGCGATGATAAGTCGGTCGAGGTGTTTGGCGTTGGAGAATGCGTGGATTGTGTAAAGAACAATATTAAGAGTAGCCATGCATTTTCAGGTAAAAAAGTTATCTTGTGCGCTTCACTAACCTATGATATTGAGTTCACTTTTGCTTCGACCATCGACCGGAGTTAACATGGCCACTCAACTCATGTTATCGTTTGAAGTTTAAGATTCTCTCAACCACGGGCGATTTTCTTTGTTATTCACCGTGGAACGGAACAAAAGTTCTTTCTTAATTTTCTTTTCTCTTCTATAATATCTGATTCAATTCTAAGTTTCTAACCCAGTTGTGTCGTGGTTCTCAACTGAATACTGTCTTGTAGAGTGGTTTGTTCGGTTGAGACTGAGGGCCCAATTGTTTGCAACCTTCTTTGATACAGCTCTGCAGTCAAGAGACTGAAAAACAACTAAGCATATGAAATACGATGAACAAATTTTGAATAGAATCAAGAGAGAAAGAGAGAGAGAGAACTTTCGTGAATGACTTCTGAAAACAGAACGTACACACAAGTGAGCATAAACATGATGGGCCTTGGGCCTGTTCGTTTTTCTGGTAAGTTGGGGGGAGAGTTGGTCAAATTTTTTTTTTTATTTTTTAGGTTATTTACTAGAATATCCCTTATGGTTTCATGGATTTACTTAAACCTACTCTATAGTTTGTATTTTACTAAAACCCTTCTTATAGTTTGCAATTTATTTACTTAATCAACCTTTCATTAAGAACTATTTGTCCAATTAGAGAAAAATGGAGTGATTGTTTGTGTTTTACAAGGGGCAAAAATGATATTTTTGTTTTCAATTTCTTTTGATTAAATTTATTTGAATGGATGTTAGTGCTAAAACTGTAATTTTCCACTTTCATCTAATGAAAGGCTGATTAAGTAAACTGAATACAAACTATAGGGGATATTTTAGTAAAACACAAATTATAGAGTAGGTTTTAGAAAATAACCCTTCTTTTACTTATTATGGGTTCCATGATAAATATACCTTTTTTTGGATATCATTAATATCTTTCTAAGTGGGTAAAAATAGTAAATTGCCTAACTTATCCCAATAAATGCATTACTCAAGAAAGTATTACTTAAGAAACATTTATCTAAATAAGTTACTGATCAAAAAAATAAAGAATCGTTGATGATTGCATAAATCTGAATCTTCTACCCACATGATAGTATGATACAACTGTACATTGGAAACATCTCTCCATGAATGAGAACATACAAATTGGAGAGATATTGTCAATGTAAGACCCTTTGTCCTGTGGGTAGGAGATTTGAATTGTGGTTGCATATGCGAGGCCCATGTCAATTGAAGCTATTCGTGGGCTATGATAAATAATGTGACCAGTTTAACCCATTCATGTTTTACCAAGATTTTGGTGAAGAATTTTGGACCATCGTGTATTCCCATTGAAAGCTAAATCAGAGATTCATAGGCTTAATCGGTATTTAATTGTATTTCAGAAAAAAAAAAGGAATGCTTATCCTATTTTTTTCCCGTCTTTGGGCACAAAAAACAAACCACGTTGCCTCCTTTGGAATTGAAAACAGCGAAAAACGTTTCTTTGAAATGTAATCAAATGTTGCCCAATTTCTAGCAATTCAAAGTCGATGGTCGGTGGAATTGATCATATATATATACTTAGCCCCCTTGTCTTCTCTATCTAAATCCATACCAATGGATGATGATCATAAAAAGAGTAGAACAGTTTATGAATGAGCTATTTTAGTTAATGATCTATTTATACTTAGGGTTTTGAAAAAAGAAAAATCTATTTATGTTTGGGCCTTTGTTAGTGATCTATTTATGCTTATGCAGTTATGCTCCTCCTAGCTCCCTCATTTGTATTAAATTCATTAAAGTTAAATATGCATGCGAACTTTCTGTCCAATACAGTTTGACAAAAGGTTATTAAACTATCTCTAGTCTCAAAGCTTGTCTTATTAATATCTTGGTAAAATGGGGTACTAAGTCCTTTTGCCCAACAAGCTTGCATTAAAATATGCTGGTTATTATTGTTACTTGCATTTGCCTTAACTGTAGGGCTCCGCGTGGCCATTGATTGCAAAGACGCAAAGGGAGAGTTTAAGACAAGAGGCATCGGTGAACTCGACAATGAAGGGAAATTCAAAGTAAATCTTCCCAGCGAAATCGTGAAAGAGAATGGAGAGTTAAAGGAGGAATGCTTTGCACAGCTCTACGGTGCTTCAAATTCCCCGTGCCCAACACACAACGGCCTCGATTCCTCAAAGATCATTTTGAAGTCGAAGGATAACGGAAAGCAAAAGTATGGGCCGACCGGAAAGTTGGCATTCTCGCCGATTACCTGCACATCGGCTTTCCTATGGCCTCATTTCAAGTACCCACCATTACCCAAATTACCACCTTTCCCAAGCGTCCACCCAATGTTTAAGCATCCATGGTACAAGCCCTTCCCTCATAAGGTCTATTATCCTCCTGTGGTTTTCCCTCCATTGCCACCAAAGGTATATAAGAAGCCTCTCCTTCCACCAATACCAATTTACAAGCCCCCAGTTTATAAGAAGCCTCTCCCACCACCAGTGCCAATTTACAAGCCCCCGGTCTACAAAAAGCCTCTTCTACCACCTATTCCAGTCTATAAACCCCCAATCTATAAGAAGCCTCTCCCTCCACCAGTGCCAGTTTACAAGCCCCCAGTCTACAAGAAACCTCTTCCACCGCCTATTCCGGTATATAAACCTCCAATCTATAAGAAGCCTCTCCCTCCACCAGTGCCAATTTACAAGCCCCCAATCTATAAGAAGCCTCTCCCACCGCCCATTCCAGTCTATAAACCCCCAATCTACAAAAAACCTCTCCCACCACCAGTGCCAATCTACGAGCCCCCTGTCTACAAGAAGCCACTCCCACCGCCAATCCCAATTTATAAATCACCTTTTACTCCAATCTATAAGAAACCATGTCCACCCATCCCCCAGCTCCCTCCTTACCCTAAGTTTCCACCAATCCCCAAGATCACTCCCATTTACAAAAAACCCTTGCCTCCTTTCCCCAAATTTCCTCCGAAGTATTATATCCCCCCTAAGTTTGGTGGCTGGCCTCCTCTTCCACCTTATTCATCCCATCCTTGAAGTCAGTTCAAAAGTCATTGGTGTAATTAAAGTAGGACTCCTTTCATGTGTTTACGAGTATTAGTAAATGTGTATGTGGCAATGCCTTCGATGAAGGTAGATTTGTTTTGTTTCATAATTTTATGAAGGTAGATTTAGTTAAGCCTTATCTATCTATTGACGATAAACTGTAGGGGCTGTAGGTGTTATTTCTCTTTTTGATTTCCATGACAATTTCGTTGTGAAGACTCTTTAGTAGACATTTTCTTATATGGTTATAAGCGGATCGTTTCTGAATAGTTATAAAGGGGCAGTTTCTGAATGGTTATAAAATGAACAGTTCCTGAAGTAAGAGTAAAGGACATATATGTCATCTTTATGCCCACTGTATGCTTAGACAGTTACTATTTCATGTATCCATAGTCACTTTTTATTGTGAAAAAATCGGCTTGAAATTTTACTAGTGTAATAAAGTCTTCAAGGTAGAAGGTGTAAGGCGAAAACCTATTTGGAAAAAGCATGTGCTAGACAGAGAGGCAATGTTACCTTTTTTTTCTTCATAATCAATTGTTTGTAATTGCCGCCATATTCGTAATGCTTTTTGTATTTTATAAGTTGTTTCTTCTTGATGATGAGACTGCAAGAAGCATTGAAATGTCAAATTACACCAATTTAAACTGATTCTTTAATTTTGTGTGAATCAGGAGTTCATGAATTCACTCGTGAAAAAATAAACTTTGCAAAATATTGTGCAAATTAACTATACTTCGGAGATTTCTTTTACAATATTAAAATGAAGAAATAAACAATAAGTTTCAAGTGTTAATAGGTTGGGCTTGAAAAGTTACAATGAAAACTCAATGGATGGAAAGCAAAATGTTTATCTCATGCTTGTAGATCTGTCTTCATACACTCTACCCTTTCCTCCATCTCCACTTATTTTATGGCATCCCATTTATTTTGCTAAGCATATTTTATCTCAAGACAAATGCTTAGGCAAGCGGTTTTTGTAAAGCTAGAATGATGAGGGGTGGTACTACTTTCTAAAGCCATTGAATGAGGGGCTTCGAATTTCGTGATACATTTCATTTTTGAAAAAAACAAGGCTCTTGCATGTTATGAAACTAGGTTAGCCACTTGAAATTGAGAGGTACAGACCTTGGGCTATTTTGAGAACCAAGAATATTCATGATGGCTTTAGTAGGGGTGTCGATTGGGCTGGATTTGGTCCAATTCGATCCAGTCCAGTGTGAGTCCATTACAAATGGATCAGGTCTAATCCAATTCAATGAATAATTTAGGATTATTTTGGACTGGTCCAATTCAATGTCCGGATTGCCCAATTTGTTCAAATTCATTTTGATTTAGATTGGTTTCAACCCAAACCCGGTCCATTGGCACCTATATTCTTATCTTATATCAATGGACCAGATATTGGCTTAATCCAATATAAATTTATTATGGACGGACCAGGTCCAGTCCAATCTAATAAATATTTTAGACCAGATTGCTCCAATCCATTATGTCTTTTTGGTCCGTCCAATCCGTCCAATTCGATTATGGACTGGACAGGGTCAATTCCGAAAACGGTCCATTGACACCCTTAACTACTAGTAGGAGGCCTTCTACTTCTTCCTCAACTTGGGCAAATATTTGAGAGATTAGCTCAAGTAAGTTGTGTTTCGTTTGAAAGAAAAGGTAGAGAAAGGAAGGGAAAGTCGGGGAAACCTTAACAAATTTTGTATAGATTTCCTTACTTTTCCCAACATTTTCTTTTAAACCAAATACAACATAAAGGGTGTGAGATCGCAAGACAAAGATGGTTGAAGTGTTAGACTTTCTTTTTCCTGACCCTTAGCTTGGATGTTGTATCCCATGGACAATAAGCTGTGTTCAAGTTCTTCCAACAGCGAACAGCGAAGGTGATGGTGGCCTCTCTCATTGATGATGAGAATAGGGTGTGGGATCGAGGAATTGTGTATTCTTTCATTCAAGTTACCTATAATACAAGAATCACTCCTGACTCTTTGGTTTGGACTAAGACAATATCAGGCAACTTCTCATATTCTTAAGCTTAATTATAAAGTCTTTGTTCAAAATGTTGTTTCTTCCTCCACCCATAACATGGCATGTCTTGGCCTTTCTTGGAAAGACTTTTGGAAGATCAAGCACCTCCCTCCATGAATTCACATGTTCCTTTGGAGGTGCTTGTGTGGTGCACTTCCCATGTTTGAAAACCTCATAAGGTTGTCTCCTTAAGTTGATATTTTGTGCCCGATTTGTGGTCTATATCCAAAAACTCTTGACCATGATGTGGACACGTTTATTGGGAAGAAGTATAGCCGCTAGCAGCAGCAGTAATTGGGTGTTCTCTATTCTCATCTTATCTAATTCCAACTAGATACAGTTCTATCTTATTTATTCAGCATTCTTATCTTATCTGTTTTCAGTAGTAAGATTAGTAGGGAGTCTTATCTATTTAGTGTCGTTATCTTATCTTATCTGTTTTCAGTAGTAGGATTAGTAGGAAGTCTTATCTATTCAGTGTTCTTATCTTATCTGTTCAGTAGTACAAATTAGTAGGGAGTCTTATCTATTCAGTGTTCTTATCTCCCCTAATCAGGGATCCATCTCCAGTTATGGAAGAAGCTAATTCCAGCCAATATATTTCTAACTCTTCAGATTTTGTGGTAACCATCTCCCGAAAGAAGCTGCCTCCATCTCCTCTCGTGTCAACCTAGAAGGAGCACTTCAGCACCTAGCCCTCTCCATTCTAGATGGGCATCATTTCATAGTTTGTGGTCAAAATAAAGACCAGAAATATTATGAAAATTTCTCCTCCATACTGGATCTGCGTAAATTCAAGATTATTTTAGAGATCCAAATAAATTCGAACTAGCTTATTCCAAGCTAGTAATAGTCAAGTTTATATCTTTATCTGCTTGGGGTGATGCTAGCAAGCCAAAATTCATCACTAAGCCTATTGATAGGAGACCCAATATATTCAACTACTGGGATTATCAAGACGCCTGATACAAAGTCTTCCTATTGCAGAATTCCATCTTTAGACATTCATGGTTTATACGTTTCTTTAAAGATTTTCAAGGCCCATATCCTGATTGGGCATATGTTTGGTGGACCTCTTGTGGAGGTTCAAATGACATTTTCCCTTGCTAGGAGCTCATGGACAAACACAAAGCATTTGGTAAGGGGAGAGCCTACATAGAATTCGATCATGTAAAGCATTTCAAATTCTTCAAAACATTTCGTCTCCCATGGATTATAAAATGAAGTTATCACCTGGGTATTTCTTGGATGCTTCCAACTATTGAGAGAAAAATTGAAATAAAGTGATAGGATAAATTTGATCTCATGGAAATTCTCAAACCCACCTCAGAAGAAGACGACATTTTTTAGTCTATCTTTGAATCCTACATGGACAAGCTTTGAAGTTCCCAGATCTAGACCCACTAGAGCTCGAAGAAATGTCCCTTCGTATGGCCGGAGAGGTGAAAGAAAAAAGCAAAGGAATCTCGAAGGACCTCGAGATTGAAAGTGTCTGTTCTCTCAGCCCGCACCAAGGACATGACACTATTTGAAGATTCCATCTCATCCGAAACAGTAAAAGTTTCGACAACTATTCCTAATAGGACAAGATGGAGATAAGCTAGCATCTCAATAATTAAGATGTGCAATAAGAAAAATCAAAAGGCATCTCAATTTTAGAGGCCTTAGAGATAAGATCGAACAAAGTGGTTCTAGGTTGTCTCTCTTTGGAAGTCTCTGCAACCTCTATATAAGGAGCTCTTCTCTTAGTTGAGGGTGTGCAAAAATTTTTGTGAAGTGCAGAAGTCTCCAAGTTCTTAGTGCTTTGTAATAGTTTGAGTGTTTTTCTTTTCGAGTGATCTTAGAAGTGTGCTATTTGAGCTTTGTAATTTTGTGTGAGATTGTGTGTTGTTATATCATCACTAAGAATCTACCTATTTGTTCTGTATCTTTGTAAGTATCAATATTAAGAAATATTTCAATTTCTATTTTTATTATATTAAGAAATATTTTTGATCGCTATTTTCAATACATTTTCTGCATAATATACTCATCTGCATGTTCTTATTTTCATTGGCTCCATATCCATCCTTTACTATTCATGTTGTTGTTCTAACTTATCCATCCTAACCCTCTTATCATACTGATCACTGTTCATGATACTGTTCACCGGTCATTGTTCACTATTTATACTATGGTGTGGATGAAAACACACCACACTCCAACCAGATAGTTGTTCTACACTATGGACAAAAATGTATGGACCAATCCACACACCTCTATGGTGTTCTACAAGGTGTAGTGCATTTCAGTCCACACCTTGTGTTTGATTCCATGCATCTCGACTACATCATTTAAGATAGCCTATGCCATTAATCATTAAAAACAATATTTTATTTTTTAGTAATATACACAATATAATAATAATAAATTGCTAAAATTTTTAATTAATAATATTAAATAACGCATAATAATATTAATTTTAATAATAAATGGGTAGTAACATTAATGATATTTGATAATATTAACAACAATATGAATAACACTTAATAATAACTAATAATATCGATAACAATTAATATTAATAAAAGTAATATCCAAAACTTAATAATTATAAAATAATATTAACATTAATCAACAAAATAATTAATATTAATAGAAATAATATTCAAAATTTAATAGTTAATAAACTAGTAACTATAATAATTAATAAAATAAAATAATATTTGAAGAGTTGAGAAAGCAAAAGCCAGGTGCGAAAGCAAAAGCCAATTCCATCTGGGACAAGCAAATCATAACTCCCATAAACTTAAAGAGTTGAGAATCAAGAACACATTCTGATTTCTAAAGTAATTTGCAGTTGAAACCCAAGAACCCAATCTATCAACAGTAAGGTTATTCAATTCATCAGAGCTTTTCCTTTTGTTATTGAACAATGTATTGTTACTTCCCCCGCCCCGATAGACCCAATCACCATAGCAGGAATTGACTTCAAAAGGCAAACTTAGAAAGACCTGGGAGGCACCAACTATAGAGCACACCTGGGAAGCACCAACTGCAGAAGCACATCCTTTACTGAGCCTGGCATCACCCAACTAGCCCCAGCAACTTTAATAAAGTGAATTCAGATTGCCCAGGCAGCCAGACAATGAATGTACAGGTGGTCAATGGATTCATCCACTTGTCCCAATAATAGAATGCATCAACACAACAATACACCATGTTCTTGTACTTTTAGAGAGCTCATAGGCTAAGCACTTCAAAGGTCCAACCCTTAGAATATCCTATCTCTTCCTGAACAAATAAAAGGCAATTTTTAGATTCATCTTCATTCCTACCCCCTCATAATTCTCTCTTTTCCGACACAATTTCCAGCACTCAAGCTAATAAATGTTTGGGATTCACATGAAGAAGGTTAAATAGTTTTTAACAAATGATCAAGCAATAACTCTTGTCTTCTTGACATCAACAAGAAAGATATTGAAGGAGGATGCTAATACACCCTTGCTCAGCCAAGGAAAATCAAACTTTTCATGCTAGACCCTGTGTATGGCATTACATTTTGAAGGAGGTTGCTACCATCCCCCTACTGAAGTCAAGTTCCATTAAATCAAGTCAGTTTTAAAATTATGTATAGTTATTATACAAACAAAAGCTTTAGTTTCTGAGTATTTTCTTGAATGTTTTCTTTCGTTGAATATTTAACATGTTCTTTGTATATGCTAGACAGAGTACAGAAAAAAGTAAGGAAAAAGAACACCAACGAAAGAAATGGTTGAAGTTGTAGAAGCTGGCGAATGAGCACTTACCGCCGGTGGTTCGATGCAGCAATGGTTGAAGTTGCAGAAGCGAGTGAGCACTTTTGTTTCTATAGATTAATAGAATATATGTTTATTGCTTTTATAACTCTATAGATGAAGAGGAATTTTGTTTCTCACAGTATATAAACATGCAACCATTCACAAAGCAAAAGAATCGAAGAAGCACGTATTTATCAGCTGTAAAAAAAATATGAAACAAGGGTAAGAGTAGATGGAGATGGAGCACTTAACGTCGGTGGTTCGGTGCAGAAGTGATTGGAGTTGTAGGCAGTGATTGGTGAAGCAAGCAGTGGTGGTCGAAGTTAAGAAGGCAAGTGGAGAAGAAGGGGCAGTAGCAGTGCTCTGTAAGAGAGGTTGCAACAGTAAAAGAAATTAGGTTTACCTTAAGTAAACATTAGATGCGAAGTAGGGGATTAGTCTTCATAGCATACAACGGGGTAGCGTGTTTTGATCCACGAGAAAAACCCATGGATGAGAAATTGGCCCGTGGTGTGAACCGATCCACGAGATAGCGTGGATTTGTCTACACCACAGGCAACCCGAACGTTCTAAGCCACCATTGTGTTTCAAAATGTAATATCTCGTGATCATTCCACGATACCAAACACCACCTAAAAGGCCAAAAACCATTGTTTGGATTGACGGGTCAATGGTTCTACTACATAGGTCAGCGGTTTCTAACCAAACCAAACCAACGGTTTTTGGCCTATAAACGGTCTTAGGGTGAAACAAAACTGGTTGTCTGACTGGTCCTCAAGTCAACCGGTCCGGTCTAATTTTCAAAACCATGAAAAGTAGAGTTTTTTTTTTTTTTTGGGTCTCTGGATGGGTATTTTGACAATTTAAAGCATTTCGTCATCTAACTTAAGGCTAATGGCATATTTGTTTCAAAGCGAAAGTTAACGGGTCTTTATTGCAAATGAAAGTTAAGGGCAATGGTCGCTGACCCATCTACTATAGTACTGTTTTCCCAAAACGAAGAAATCACCTATGTGAAGGAAAGGAATAAAACCCCCTTGACTCGGAGTCTTGGACAGGTCCAAATAGTGCACCCGACACCACTCTCAAGTCTCAAGTGTATGCTTGATATCCCTCCTAAAATCCCTGCGCGCTATACTAACCTCAACTCTCCCAAGTGCCTTTCCCCCGTTCCGTGCCTTCACCTCATACATTACCGACCCAGCTTACCCTCCATACTTCCCAACTTTGTTCGAAGAATAAAAAGCGCGGGTTCATTCCCAGACAGAATCCTTCTTCTCTGATTGAGGAGTTCCCCAAATGGCAAGTGCTGCAGCAGCCATTGACCTGGCCGCGACCCCCAAGTCTGTCGACGAGTCTCTTTGGTGGGACTCTTTCGTCCTTCTCTTGAATGACCTCGAAAACGCCCCTCTATCGCTCGAGCTTCCGCTCTCTCTGGTAAAGCCATGTTATCTCCATTCATTTCACTCATTAGCCACCATTTGGATCTCCGCATTTGAAATCTATCCCTCTTTGTCCAGGTAAAGAAGTTGAAAAACAATCACTCTTGGTTCTTGGATACGGTTTCCCTTTTTAAGCCCCCGAACCAGACATCTAGGGCTGCTCTGGATTCCCATAAAGTTGATGTAGGCTCACATCGGTTGATCATACAACCTCAATTGAAAGATGTGGCTTTACATGTTAGCTCTTGTCTGGTAAGTTTATTATGACTCATTTGTTCTTGCAACAATTAAACCTTGCTGTCTTTCTCCTCCTCCTCTCTCTTCATTTTATATGTTCTAATGCCAATTTTTGAATTTTATTTTATATTTTTGTTTACAACGGCCTTCTGAAACTACCCGGTTTTGACTTAATTATGGTTAACCCTTGGTGTTTCAGGTTCTTGTGTCTTGTTAATTAGGTGACTTAGGTTTATGTTGTGTTAAGTCATAAAAGACAAACACAAGAAAATGCATTTAGACCACTGTATATATCTTTTATACTTTTGATGGTTAAGAAGTTGTTGTGGCTTTGAAAAGAATGAAAAAAATGCATTTAGTCTTTGAGATTCTAATAGTGGAGCATGGAGATATTCTTATATGGTTATACTTTTAATAGAACAGGATATTAAAATTGTCTGTTTGGACCACTTATTGTCTACCCCCTTGCTGTATGTGTGAGATGTTAAAGCAGGAACCCGATTCTTCTGGTTCTAAGAAAGTGTTCTGCTTTATTATCTGATGGCTATGAATGACTATTTTTGGTCTGAGAAAATTTATAGGCATGGCCTACTGGTTGAAATGAATAAGCAGTGCATATATTTTATGTCAAGACAAAAAAATGCTATATATACCAAGACACTGATAAATATGATGCAAATCAGTCTGTGCTGGACTCTTCAAGTTTTATTAGTACTCGAAAATAAATTATCCATTCCTTCCTTAAAAAGTCTAAGCTACGCAAGTATCTGCCTTAGGGGAGAGGATCACAACTGATCCCCATGATCTGGTCTATCTGCAGGAATTAATCTGCACTCTAGTTGAAAAAAAAAAGAAAAGTACAATAGTAACTCTCCTTGATAAGTGTACTGAAACAGGTCAATTGAAACCAGCATAAGCTAAAAACAAGAATGCTAAAGAACCCAAATGCTGCAGAAGTGCAACTCACCATATTAGTTATGTCATTGCATTTTGTGTTGGTTGATAAAAGTATAAGAATTTGATTTTCATGCATACTAAATGAAAACATAATGCATTGATGGCATTTTTTTCTTTAATTTACATTAACCGACATGAATCCATGAGATACACTTCAAATTTAGGTCTGGATCTCCTGAAAGCAAAAATAATGGGAATACCCTAGCACACACCAGGAATATCTCCTATACTTGTATATTAAATTCATGGGGAGTTGTTCCTGTGTGTGGCTTGATACTGTACACTCAGGGTGTTTACAGGATTTATTGCTTTCAGGAAATCCTAGTGCCTCTAGTTTTTGTTTTGCTCTGAAAGACTTAAAGTTGAATTTGCAGTAATTATATTGTTCTTGAAACTTGAAACTTGAAGCCTGAAAGGAAATAATAATGCATTAATGCTCCAGTATCCCTTGACTGAATTCTCCTTTGTTTGATCTTTACATATTTATTTTTAAATTGATTACTTGTTCATGCTTATCCGTCTACTGAATCATTTATTTGATGCTTATCTGTTCTACTGAATCATTTTTTTGATAAGTGATTCTGTTGAATCAATTTTTTTCTGTATTCATGCTAAAATGTATGTTTCTTAGCGTCTCTTCAGTGTCTAGATGAGGTGCAATCATACATTCTTGTCAAACAATCTGTTGAACGTGATAATATGGCTGCAGATTTGAAAAATCAAGAATTTGTGCATTGGGTTAGTAACTATTTACTTTTTTATCCCTCTTGTGTAGTTATACTACAATTTATGATTGTGGCGTTGATTTATACTGCATTCTGCATACTTGTACATGTGATGAAGGTTCTTATGATGAAGTTGCCAGTTTATTGCTATTCTGGTTACAAATAGGATAGACCCTTTGGTTGGTCAGTTTGCTGCTTTCACCTTGTGGTTTTAGCATTTGTACCCTGTAATCCTGTATTACAAGGGCTTTTGAGCCCTGCCTTCCCCTTTGCCCCAATCCATTTATCTACTGGGTTTCAGAAGCATCCATCTTGACCTGATGGAAGGCCTGAGATGTACTCCAAATCTTCGTTGAGGCTTTCTGATTCTGAGAGCTAATTGAGCTTGCCTAACGACTTTGTATTGCTAACTGCCTGCACTTTTCCTCTTTTTGACTAGTGAATGAACGGCAGTAATTGTATTTGATGAGACATCTTTGTCATTTAGTTTCATGTGATTGTATAATGTTTGGTCCTGTTTGAATTTTTTTTACTTAAATTTTAAATAAAGTAGATTCTTTTATGCAATAAATCAAACTTTATGAAGCAAAAGCCCTATTTAGTTGAGGGAGGAGGATGTTTGTATCTTGGTGATTAATTGTACTATAGCTAAGGAGGAGTAGTGCAAAATCTTTGGAGCTTGAGGTTGTTGATCCGTGGCCTTTGAAATATTTTGGTTTACCTCTAGATGGAAAGTAAGGCAATTTCTTTTTTGGTGCTTCATGGTGGAAAAATTGTCTAAAAATTGGGAGCTTGGATAAAGAATTCCTTCTCCCTTAGAGGTATAATCAAATTCATTATCACCTTACAGAGGTGGCAGATGGGTGGGTTGAGTGCCAACCACCCAAATTGACCCACTAACTCACCATGACCCACATTAATTGCTTGTTATTGGGTCGCAACCCACCCTGACCCACCCACTTTGACCCATTTATGCACTACATTCAACCTTTTTTTTTTTCAAAACATAGAAAAAATGTAGTAAAGACAAAAATTGATAAAAATTAAAAAATTATATATTTTAGCAAAAAAGCAGAAATTTCAAAAAAAAACATAGAAATGATAATTGTTTTTTTTTTCAAAGACGTGTATTTCATCCATAAAATCAGAACTGCAAAAATACATAAAATGATATATTTTTTTTAAATTGTATATCTCAACCAAAAAAAGAAAAATTGCATAAAAACAAAGAAAAGGATATATATATATATATATATTTCAATCAAAAAGTAAAAATGTAGAAAATTCATAAGTTGATAAAAAATTCATTATTTCAACCAAATAAACAAAAATTGCAGAAAAAAACAAAATTGATAATAATTTTCAAGAGAAACTCATGTATAACACAATGATTTTCAGAAAAAAAGCCTCATTAGTCATAGTCACAGAGACTCGCTCCTTCAACAGCTTTATCTTCAAACTAAAACAGAAAATAATCAATCAATGCATCATCTCGAAAGTAATTCCAATTATAAAAAGTAATAATTTCTTACATTAAAAGGAAAGTTCTATAAAATAGTTGTAAGGTCAGCTATGTCGTATGGAGCAGAGTGTTGGCAATCAAGAAACAACATGTCCAGAAAATGAATGTGGTAGAAATACGAATGCTAAGATGGAGGAATGGGAAAACTAGAATGGATAGGATTAGGAATGAAGTTATCTGTAGGAACCTAGGAGTGGCTCCAATAGGTGGTAAAATGAGAGAGAGTAGACTAAGATGGTTTGGGCTACAACATGTCCAGAAAATGAATGTTGCAGAAATACGAATTCTAAGATGGAGGAGTGGAAAAACTAGAAAGGATAGGATTAGGAATGAAGTTATCTGTTCGAATCTGGGGGTAGCTTCAATGGGTGATAAAATGAAAGAGAGTAAATTAAGATGGTTTGGGCATGTGCATAGAAGACCGCCAACTGTGCTAGTTAGAAGAAGTGATTTGTTACACATTGAAGGGGCTCGAAGAGCTTGGGGTGGACCAAAAAGCAGTAAAGGACATGGGTAGAAGTAGTAAGAAATGATTTAAGCACTAATAATTTAACAGTGGATATGGCTTTAAATAGAACGGATTGGTGAAACAAGATTCTTGTAGCCGAATCCATATATAGTTGGGATAAGGCATGGATGATGGTGATTTCTTACATTTTGAGATAACACATTGATCCAGAAGTAAAGCTAACAGCAAATAGCTGGGGGGAAGAACTTCAAGCCCTAAGTGGTTCAGATCAAATCAAGGCTTAGATTGAGAATGCTTCCAAAAGCCGAAACCATTTTGAGTTCTGCTTCAGTGGATCAAATGGATTCCATGGATCCCCTTTTCCATATCTTGAGATGATATGTTGATTGATTGTTTTCTGTAAAAGGTAATACTTTCTTACATTTTTGCCAAGAGCAACCCTCAAGTGTTCATCCGTTTCCTGAAGTGACTGTTCAAGCTGCAATGCTTTCTCCTCAAACTCAAATTGAAATCTGTCCTCCCACTGTTGTAATTTCCACTGCTCAGCGTCATTTCCTCTGCTTTCAAACCCTAAACCCCCAAATCCTGCCTAACTTCCCTGAATCTCTTTTTTGACGATGAGGAGAATAAGAAGAAGAGGGAGAAGAAGGAAAAGCATAAAGACGTACTGGGGTTGACATCGGTGGTCACTACAGCAATAGCCGCTAGCAGCTTTTCTCTCTTCTTTGTAACTGCAATTTGTACTCAAGGAGAAGTATCTCTGTAAATGACAATGAGTTAGAGGCATCTCACCCTATGGGTACCCTTGACCCAACCCACCGTGACCCTTTTCTATGAGCCAAATGGGTGGCTTACCCATATTGACCCACTACTCAAATGGGTGGGTTTTGAAGTTGGTGGGTTGGGTGGGTCAAATGTGTCTGGGTCAAAATTGCCAGCCCTAACCTTACCCAATCTCCTAATTTATTTTTCCCTATCTTCCATGCACTTGTAAAATTATCAACAAATTTGGAAAAAGGTTGTGTATGATTTTCTTTAAGAGCAGGTGGCTCTAAAAATGATCAATTATTGAACTGGACCACTGTTTGGAAGAGTAAAGCAAATGAAGGCTTGGGTTTGGGCAGGTTTAGGGATGAGAATATGGCTCTTTTTGGAAAATGGCTAAAAGTTCCTTATTTAATCAAGCTTTGTTTTTTCATTCAGTTATCAAGAGAAGATATGGTCTTCATGTTGGCTTCTAGGTGAGCCTACAACATCCTTGCAAAGCTATTGAGGTTATTATTCCTTGTTTTTGATTGGTAATGGTCAATTTTTTTTTTGATTATTAGGGCTGTTCACAAAATAGTTAGAACTGATCAAACTGACCAAACCGGCCCGATTCAACCCGATTTGATCGGTTCTAAAAAATGATCAATCGGTTCTGGATTAGAAAAATGTAGAAACTGATACTTTGGTTCAGCTTTGGTTTATTATATTATAAACCAAACTAAAACCGGCTCGATGTGTCACTTTCAAATTTGACATATTAATGTGATGTCATGCACAATTTTTATTATGACACTGGGTCCTTGGGTCCCATAGTGTCAATTCAATGTCTTATACTGTTGTTTATCACTCGCGAAATTTCAAGTACTCATCCATTTACCCAAAAAATAAAAGCTAGTCCCCCAAATCCAGCTATAGGCTTGCATCCTCAATCCCCATTATGACACTGTGTTATTTGAACCTCTTACTTCGGTTAATGGATTAAACCGACCAAATGCATTTAAAGTCGGTTTAACGGTTGGTACGTGTAAATTAAATCAAGCTGAACCGACCCGTTTACAGCACTATTGATTATGAAAAAAGTTATCTAATTACAAAAAATAAATGTGGCAGAAATGCATATGTTTAGATGTATGAGTGGAAAAACTAAAAAGGACAGGGTTAGAAATAAACTCATTTGAAATTTATCGAAAAAAAAAAACTCATTTGAAGGAACATAGGAGTAGCTCCAATAGGTGATAAAACGAGAGAATGTAGAGCAGGATGGTATGGTCATGTGCATAGAAGACTGTGTATATAGCATTAGTAAGTAGTAAAACGAAGTGATCTGCTGCAAGTTTTTATTTTTCATTTTTTTAATCTTGAAAAAGTAAGGTATTGTATTGCAAAGAGAAAATGGTTATATCAGCCCATGCACATCAAGGAGCTGTACATTGGGAATATACAGTATAGAGATGATAATATTGTTTACCAAAAAAAAGATGATAATGTTGCTGTTTACAAAAAGAGTGTATGTAATTCAAAAAAAGAGCTGTGTGGAGCTCTTTGAAATGTAAGGATTTCTTTCCTCCCAGATGGTCCAAATTATTGGAGTGGGACACATTCCCTCCAAAAGCTTGCCACTTAGGGGTGCTAATGGATCGGATTCTGATCCAATCCGATCCTATATTGTTGGATTCGGATCTCCCCTGTTCAGATCTTCGGATTGGATTGGATCAGAAAATAGGATCCGATCAAAAATCAGATCGGATTTGGATCACCCCTATCCGATCTGAGAAGATCTGATCCAATATATATATGTTATATATATATATATATATAACACATATGTGTTATTTATTTATTTATAAATATATTATTTGTATTGTATTTTTTGTAAATTTGTTATGTTAATTATTATTATTTTTTATAAAAAACAAGTATATATATGATGAAAATAGTTGAAAGCTACTTGTATTTTTTTTTATTAAATTATTATATTTTATTTTTCTTTTAATAATTTATTAATTTTCTAAGAAATTTAAATTGGAGTGGATCAGATCTGAAAATCCAACTTCATCGGATTCAAATTCAAATCCATACTTATGAGATCCGATTGGATCTTTGGATCAGATCGGATTGTCTCTTAACAGTGTTAGATTGGATTCGGATAATACCCTGATTCAAATCTGATCTGATGCGTTTGCATCCCTATTGCCACGGTTTCTGAGACCACTAAATACTAGCTTCTGAATAGATAGAGGTGTAAAATGGGCCA